GTGTATACGATTCATCAAGGGAAGAACAGCTTCATTTCAGTTGGCATACACTGATGAATGCCAAAAATAATGAAGCTGAATTCAAACAAAGTTTGTGGCGATTACCTCCAACAACCAACTATCACAATTTAATATTGTAAATGATCATACTTATACCATTCAAAAACCATCAAAACAATTTTATCTACACACGACACTCATTCGATAACTACACTGAAATCTTACAAATAATCATCGTTTCACATCCAATCAATGCATCAACTTCAATCCACACAACAATACACCATATGACTGACTATTCATCATTCAAACTCAATATTAACTCTAATAAACTTGTCACTGTTATTCAATTTCACCCGTTTGAAGATTCTTCACCTAAACACAAAATACACAAACACAAACAACCAAACTGCAAGTTCCCTCCTTCTTAAAGTCTGTCAGATGATAATAATTGCATCACTATACTGTCTACTGAATGATGCTCTCGACACTTTCCATAACTGTGAAATTACATCTGGAATTGTAATGAAACAGATTGCAGGTCTGTTGCATTTCTCACATTTATCAGGATTTATTCATTTCAATTCGACACTCATCAATAAATTCTTACAAACTGCTGAACTTAACTACTGACTAACACTTATTCGTGACTTGCTTGGAGAGATGAGATTTATTTAACTTCTGATGAGTTGTTGGCTACTGATTAAACCAATTTGAATATGAGGAGAAATACTCAACAATGCCATTGAATTATGGTCATACCCCAACTACTCAATGACAATGTACCCACTATGAAACCTAAATCTCATGTGTCTGGTTCCTGATGGGATGACGTCTGAGCACTGTTGAGGAGTCGCATGCTATGACAAAACATATGTCCAGTGCTCCCACATTTTCAATGCTTATCCAGCCAATGTCAACTTGCAGTGAATGCCAATCTGAAGTCGAGAGGCAACTGATTTATACAGGAACAGTTTTTATAACCAACCAAGTAATGGGAATTGAAAGTCACATCTTCAACTCCTTAATTATTCTTGTTCACATCAACTGTCAAACATAAGAAAAATGCTACTGAAACATACTGGCCATTAGTGGAATCCTAGGAGATGCGCATCATCCTGTTTAGACTTCATCAGTTCAACCGATTATTTCGGTGAGGGAAGACTACAAGTCACAACATGAGTAAGAAAATACTTTCTCAAGGTTCTCCAATATTCTATAACCATTCGGCTTGAATAAGGTGAAAAGGAATAACACCTGATGCATAATTACTAGTATATAATGAGAATTCAGCTAAATGGGTTGGTGACATGGATTTGAATATCTCAGAGGTAATCAGTCTCCTCGTTGAGAAGGCCAACTGGGGACATCACGTGTTAGGTCAGGCCGTCGAGTGGAATCCAACAGGGAAATGACGAGTTGGTGTCCGAGCCGTGGGTGACATGGAGGAGATCATGTGAGGAAGAAATGAAAGGTTGTGAGCAGTGGTGGCACCAGGTTAAGGAGACTGCAGCAGAGAAGAGAGTGAAATGGAGGCGTGCTACTGAGGCCCTATGTTATGTTCCACTAGGAACTCAAGGGGAAACAAATAAATAAATCAGTTTCCTCACAGTTGCATATACATCTTACTGACAGGCGTCCATACACACACAGGATAGACTCAGGAAGGTTTCTTGCTGATGACCTCAGGCTGTCAAGCAGTTCCTATCTTTATATGAAGTTCTTTCAACATCTCCACAGTTCGCTTTTTTGTTACTGACTACTGACTGGCACTTATTCGTGACTTGGTTGGAGATATGAGATTTATTTAACTTCTGATAAGTTGTTGGCCATTGAATAAACCAATTGGAATATGAGAAGAAACACTATTTCTACTCATTGACAGGATTCAAACATCTGTTAGACAGAAATGTACAGCTCTCCTGACGACTACAACCAAAACAAAACTTTGAATGGTAACGGGTAAAATGGAGCCTTGTTTTGAATACCATTTCAAATACATTCAGTAAAGATGTTGTCCGGAATGATTCTTTCGAATACATTGACTGATTGCTAAACTGTAACTAATTTCATTTTGTCTGGTTCTGAGTTCTGATTAAATATATCAACTTAACCAGTAAACTCATCATTGTGATACACGTTGACAGATGTTAGCCAGTTTTATCCAAATGACAAGAAGTCCTACTTGATTTAGGTTTCACGCTTGTTGACATTCGAATGTTGTTCTCACACTTTCATCCATGAGTTATCAGAAAAGTCATCATTGGTTAGGTGTATTTGAATTGGTTAAATGTGCACAATCTTACCACTTTCTAAGCTTCTTATGACTTAGCGTAGTTTATCATCATGGTAAATGCCGCTAGTAGAAATAAAATCTCAACTCTTGTAACAATCTTCAGAATAATGAATACGTTTCTGTGCAAACCTACTTTGTCAGCAGTTAATGTTGAGGTAGAGCATCTTTTCTATTTTTCTCTGCAAAAAATTTACCTTAATTACATGTAACACTAAGATGATTATCACTGGTGTAAAATTTTCAAAAGTTACTTCATTCAACGAAGAGATACAGAATATTACAAAACACGAGAATTCCTCTGAGATGTATTATACAGTCTCAAAAGTATTAAGAATCAAGTACTCAGCAATATATGGAATTCATGTATGAAATTTCATTTTAAAAAAATACCATATTCAGTTGTTCAGGTCGCTGAATCTCTTGATGGTGCATAAGTTATAGTAGAATACCTAGAGAAATAACTCGACTTAATTTACATCACAAATGGCTAAAGTCACTCCACTAACATTGACGATTGTTCAAATCCCTACGTTAATGTTTACCAGCTCAGTCTGTTGAAAAATTTCGATACATAACAAAACTGCATATTCATATTTTGAAATCAATTGTAAGAAAATCATGAACTGAAGCCAGTGACTTTGAGAAGGTAATCAATGCTTGAGTATTGTATACCAGATAAAATTCCTCAACTTCATACAGGATCTTTAAAGTAAGACGAGAAAAATTTTTTATAAGATTTCGTTAAAGAATTTACTAAAAGAATAATCGCATGGAGAATTTCCAGAAAACCAAGAGTAAAATATTCCCAACCTATTCATTGTTAAACTGAATCAAATGGAATTTGAAGAAGTTTCACTAAGATTTAATTTTCACGTCACAATCCAATGAGTGAAGGACGGTTCAAAACTATCTTGTTTCATGAACTCCAAAAAAGAAAATTTTATCAAAAGAACTATAGATGGAGCTAAGAAATCTGAAAAATAACGATCAAGTAGTAATATTGAAACCAGTTAAAAGTTTGAGTGTTGAAATAATAAATAAGGATGATTATATCTTTAGGATGGACTTGTTTCTTCACAACCCAATGAAATTCACAACGGATAGCTGCCTTAAAATATAGACTGAAGTAACAGAAAAACGAACTGTGGAGATGTTGAAAGAACTTCATATAAAGATAGGAACTGCTTGACAGCCTGAGGTCATCAGCAAGAAACCTTCCTGAGTCTATCCTGTGTGTGTATGGACGCCTGTCAGTAAGATGTATATGCAACTGTGAGGAAACTGATTTATTTATTTGTTTCCCCTTGAGTTCCTAGTGGAACATAACATAGGGCCTCAGTAGCACGCCTCCATTTCACTCTCTTCTCTGCTGCAGTCTCCTTAACCTGGTGCCACCACTGCTCACAACCTTTCATTTCTTCCTCACATGATCTCCTCCATGTCACCCACGGCTCGGACACCAACTCGTCATTTCCCTGTTGGATTCCACTCGACGGCCTGACCTAACACGTGATGTCCCCAGTTGGCCTTCTCAACGAGGAGACTGATTACCTCTGAGATATTCAAATCCATGTCACCAACCCATTTAGCTGAATTCTCATCATATACTAGTAATTATGCATCAGGTGTTATTCCTTTTCACCTTATTCAAGCCGAATGGTTATGAAATATTGGAGAACCTTGAGAAAGTATTTTCTTACTCATGTTGTGACTTGTAGTCTTCCCTCACCGAAATAATCGGTTGAACTGATGAAGTCTAAACAGGATGATGCGCATCTCCTAGGATTCCACTAATGGCCAGTATGTTTCAGTAGCATTTTTCTTATGTTTGACAGTTGATGTGAACAAGAATAATTAAGGAGTTGAAGATGTGACTTTCAATTCCCATTACTTGGTTGGTTATAAAAACTGATCCTGTATAAATCAGTTGCCTCTCGACTTCAGATTGGCATTCACTGCAAGTTGACATTGGCTGGATAAGCATTGAAAATGTGGGAGCACTGGACATATGTTTTGTCATAGCATGCGACTCCTCAACAGTGCTCAGACGTCATCCCATCAGGAACCAGACACATGAGATTTAGGTTTCATAGTGGGTACATTGTCATTGAGTAGTTGGGGTATGACCATAATTCAATGGCATTGTTGAGTATTTCTCCTCATATTCAAATTGGTTTAATCAGTAGCCAACAACTCATCAGAAGTTAAATAAATCTCATCTCTCCAAGCAAGTCACGAATAAGTGTTAGTCAGTAGTTAAGTTCAGCAGTTTGTAAGAATTTATTGATGAGTGTCGAATTGAAATGAATAAATCCTGATAAATCTGTGAAATGCAACAGATCGCAGGTCTGTTGCATTACAATTCCAGATGTAATTTCACAGTTATTGAAAGTGTCGAGAGCATCATTCAGTAGACAGTATAGTGATGCAATTATTATCATCTGACAGACTTTAAGAAGGAGGGAACTTGCAGTTTGGTTGTTTGTGTTTGTGTATTTTGTGTTTAGGTGAAAAATCTTCAACCGAGTGAAATTGAATAACAGTGACAAGTTTATTAGAGTTAATATTGAGTTTGAATGATGAATAGTCAGTCATATGGTGTATTGTTGTGTGGATTGAAGTTGATGCATTGATTGGATGTGAAACGATGATTATTTGTAAGATTTCAGTGTAGTTATCGAGTGAGTGTCTTCTTTCTATAGATTTACTTGCATTTCAATGATAAATGTCTGAAATCAAATGATGAAGCTACTATAAGCTTAAAATCGTTATCCTGGAACCTAGGTTCATTATCCTATTGAAATTTTAGAGTCTTGTATACCCTTTTATATGTCTAACTTTGTGTTGTCCGCGTACACTTTAAACCTGTACTGTACATCACTTAAAGTATTACTTCAGACGAATAGACTGAATGTGATCTCGATCCTTAGGATGATTTTGCTCCATTTGTGGTTTTAATTCATACCTTGGTAAGTTCTTTCTGAGGAATTCAAATTTCTTAGTTTGACTACCTGAGATAACTCTGGTTTAGAAGGTTTATATTTATACGGGATGATGATTAATTATGAAGTGAAAATCTCAGGCACGACAGAATTTTTACCAGCTACCACCTTATTACCTCCTCGGTGTTCATCCCAACTGTTTTGAAGCACAATAAATTTCTCTCTTGAAGTTTCGATTAATCCTAATCTTATATAAATGGAATATTTATGTAATAGTGATGGATTTGTAAAAATTATGAGAACTAATCTGATAACCAACAACTAATTCAACAATCAACTATTGAATAGATTATACTACTAATTGTGTTGTCTGCACGCAGTTCTAGGTAACATATCTAATGATTTTGCAAGTAATCTTGTCAACAGCAAGATTTAGAGCGGATGAGAAGTGTAAGGTAACAATATTACTCTGTATCTAACAACTAAGCAGCATAAAAAGGATATACGGTGAAGAATTAATTATCCTTGGGGTTGAGGTGTATGCCTGGTGTTTATCTGACCCCAGTCTGTTAAATTAACATCATTATGATAATGTTAAACTTATCTTTATCCCTATCTACATATATCTTAGTATACTACTACTTATATACTTATAAATAATATTGTTATAACATGACAGATATGATAATATAGAAGTAGTATTCATCATGGACTGATATCAGTTGGGGAACCATTGAAAATCAAGGAGTACTAGACAACCATTTCGTCCTAGTATGGGACTACTGAGCAGTACGCACTCATGACCCGGTTAGGTATCCAACTCATGACGAAAGGAGAACATGATAATAGTTATTAAGAATAATAATAATAAAAAAAATCAATAAAACAGCTTACCCGGTATGTTTCTTCTTCGTTGTCTAGATGAATCATATTTTGCATAATTATAGGCTTCATTCCTTCATGAATATTCTTTTGTCTTATCATATGATTGCCTTCTATTGGTAAAATACAATTATCATTGTTCCATCTTGTTGATGTATATAAATTCTCTTCTGTATCACATTCTTTAATAATTATATTCTCTTTCTTAAAATTATGTTGATGATCATAATGATAATTCTGTTGATAATGATCATATTCAAATTTATGGATTCGATCTAATTTTGTCTGTTGTAAATTTATAAAATTTTCTTTTGTCTCTCTAATCATCTCTTGTGGTGTACATTCAATTCCTTTATCTGAACAGTATTTATTCATGAGATCTGAGTAGTGATTATCAGTTATTGATGTATAACAGTGCTGAAAAGGGAATTTTTTGAAGGTTGATTTATTCTGGTCATTATTGTTATTATTACTATTACTATTATTATTATTATTATTATTATTATTATTATCAGTAGTAGTAGTAGTAAAATAGTTATTACTGTAAGAAGTAGTATTGAATGTGATGGCTGTTAATTTCGCCAGTGGATTATTATTATTATTACTATTATTAGTTTCGTTGGTATGACCAGACTGTTGTATCAGATGGTGTTGTTGCTGATAATGTTGATGATGAAAAGATCTTCTTGAGGATGATGAATACACTGATGATGTTGACGGTTGTTCAAATCAATTGGTTGAACAGTTAACATTATTTCTGTTCCACTTGAAAACCACTTCTAATATCTATTGTTTTGGGTTGATTAAATTTTTGGTGATAATTGAAAAATTTCTGTTTAAAAACGAGTTTTACATAGGTAATTGTAGATTTTCTTAAACTTTCTAGGCATAACTTTTTAGTTTTCATTGCTTTTCTAATTTATTATCATTATTATTATTATCATCCTATATGTTTTACTAGACAAAATGAAAAAATATTTAGGGAGAAAAACCATCATATTGCTCTTTGATTGGATAGCTTGAACAAGTAGTGGAACCAATAGCAATTAGGAGCGTTTAACAGGAAGAAATATGTACTGTTTTCTATATTTAGTTTATCGTTTATCATCAAACATTATCTATATAATATTATATACTAACATTCTTGTTTTTAATAGTTGTAAATAGCGGTCAAATTGAACTTTATGATTTAAAGATGAAAATTTAACCTCAATCGAAAAAAAATTCGTTAGATTTCAATGACATTTATGATTAACTGGTTAGTGATTATTATTTTCTCCTCAATACATACTTAATTATATCTGTATGGTGTTTCAAGGGTATAGATTTCAGCACCATCACACTAAGGAACTTTTATTTCCCCAGGATGTCATAGGTCTAACTTGTGGAGCAAGTGAATTTATTTTTCGTTCACTTGTGAACACTTTCCAGCATGGTTAGATAGAAGTGTGGTAAAAATGATTACTAGTAGCATATCCTGCAGTCGGTGACTAGGCATACGTAGTATCCTTCGCCTCACTACCTTTTTACTTGATGTGCTGATATGAGGTGTGGCAACTCGGACCGTTACGCAGTAATGCCCGGTCCTATGCTGATAATGATGATGATGATGACTAGTAGCATAATACTACATTTGATTGAAATGAACCATTAGGTGGATATGCATAAGTTGGTGTTTTGCATCCTGTACCAAGTTTCCATCAACTTTCCAAAAGGATCAAGAATACTTTTAATGAATAAAAAAGACTACATAGATAAAACGAATACTTTACTAAATGATGAGAGTAAATTTCAGAAACTAATCGCTTATGGGTTTGCAAGAACTGGAGCGGAATCACTCTCCTGTTCAACAAAAGCAAGCAAAATATTGAGCTGTATCATACTGGAGAGACTTAAGGATGCACTGGATTCAAAACTACGACCGGAACAGGCTGGATTCAGGAAGTAAAAATCATGTGCGGATCAAGTTGCGACGCTTCGCATCATCATAGAACAGAGTATACAATGGAAGTCAACTAAACTCTATCTCAACTACATAAACTTCCAAAAGGCCCTCGGCAGCGTAGACCGACAAAAAATTCTGCACCTGCTGCTTCTAAACTACGGTTTCAGTCCCACAAATCTTTCCCAACCCCATTCAACAACTATATGAAGATGCCACATTCCGAGTGATTCACAATGAAAAGCTCAGTCACGCGTTTGAAGTGAAGACAGGAAGGAGTAAGACAAGGCTGTCTACTATCAACCATCATATTCCCAATTGCAGTGAACTGAATCATGCAGCAAACAGTGAGGAGCCAGAACAGGTAGACAATTTGGAACGCAGAAAAGAACCTAGCAGATTTAGATTTCGCCGACGAGGATTTATGTCTAATGTCACACAAACTTGAACATCTACAGACGAAAACCAACAAGTCGACAGGAGAGGCAGGGCAGCGAAGACGGGACGTCAAGTGAATGTAGAGAAGACAGAGGTGGTGAAGATACCCAACCAGCAACACCACCACCAACAACAACAAGCTGCAATCACCATCAATGGGAGAAACTTCAACAAAGTAGTCTCCTTCACCTATCTAGGCAACACTGTTTCAACTACAGGTGGCACACACACAGACGACGACGTCAAAACCAGTCAGGATCACAAAGACAGCAAGACAGAGGTTCCTGCATTAATTTGAAACCAGTGTGGAGATCTTCTGCACTCAGCACACATTCATCAACAACTGCCTACGCTCACTCGTTACTGAAGATCAGATAGCCAGAATAGTCAGAGTCAGCAAGAAGGAACTCTGGCTGTCAACGAACCAACCAACGAAGCAAGAAGCTATCGCTGAACAAGTATGTAGAAGAAGGTGGAGATGGGGATGGATTGGGCATACACTGAGAAGGTCAACTGGGGACATCACATGCCAGGCCACGTACTCGAGTGGAACGCAGATGGGAAGTGACGAGTTGGGCATTGGAGGAGGGAGGTGATATGGATGAGATGGTGTGAGGAAGAAATGAGAGGTTGTGGTGAGTCGTGGAGTGAGGTTCAAAAGATTGTGGAGAATAGAGTGGCTGGAGACCTGCTACTGAATCCCTTTGTTTGACTAGGAACCCAAGGGACAACTAATAATAATCTGTTCCCCAACATGATAAACATTCTATCAAGGTATTACTCTTCAAATTACTTTTCTTAGTTCATTTTCTTTACCTCTCCTGAACACTTCCCTATTGTTTTATAAAATTATTACTGTATAGTGTTATACAAGTTGTATAATCGTTTAGATAATCAACTACTTTGGATTGAACACCAGTAATATATGATTCCGATAGTCACTTCCATACAAGACGTGTGTGAATTGACCTTGTTAGGTGCATAATATCATAAACAAACTGAAAAGTGAAGTCTCAATATTGTGGATGCATAATTCCTCAGTATTTATACATAACAGTCGGATCTGAAGGAGGAGAAGTTATCGAAAAGAACATTCCTTATTCATTCAAATAACCTTTGAATTATAATTGATCTTCTGTTAAACTGAAGTTTTCAGTACCCATTTCTAAGGATCATTTCCGCTAGGTTGATGGTGTTGCTGTGGGAAGTCATTTAGGTCCCCTTCTAGTTGTCATATTTATGTCATGATACAATTGGCCGAGAATCTAATAGACCAAACCCATCAGTATTGAAGATATGCTGACGATATCGTGATTATTTGTGAAAACTTAAGACAGTCTACTAAAATTCTAAACCAATTGAACGAAGAACAGAACAGCATATCATTGACATGTGTAGGTGAAAAAGATGACTGCTTGCCATTCTTGGATACATTAATTACTCGGAGGCAGGACGGACCCATAAAACGATCTATTTGCAGAAAACCTACATGGACAACTGCAATATTTTAACTGTCTTAGCTTTTGTCTAGTTCTGTACGAGCGAGCGTTAGTTAGGTGCTTATCCAGTAGAATTCAACGAATATGAACAGAGGACACTTTGGAAGACGAAAGAGGAACACTGATTGAAATGCTGTTGGAAAATAGCTATCTATCAAGATCTATTAGGCAGCACAAAATAATTAGAACGTCAAAACCAGATCTTCAGTTTGTCCCATAGAAGGGTTTCTTTATCAATCTTCCATACAAAGGTGACTCCCATAGCACAATCCTCAAGCAGAGACTGCTGTTAGAAAGACTTACTATGCAGCCAGGGTTTGATTAACAAAAACCACCATGCCTGTATATTCTCCCAAACCCCTGCACCATGTGAACAACATTGTTACACCCATTGTACATACCAATTCAAATGTACTTGTGATGACAGATACATTGGGAGGACTCATAGATCCATGCAAGTAAGGGCTTCGGAACATATTCCGAAGTGGTTTCAGAAGCAAAGTAAAACACCGGAACCCATAAAATTTGGTGGCAGACTTTTGAATTCTTCGATCGAGAAATATATTGTTGAGAGAGGTCACAGGATCTGCGTGGCTACTTCCTTTACGCCTATTTAAAGAACGTATTGGTGAGGAATCCTTGAATCTGTTGAGGCCTTAGCTGTTAGGAAGTTCAAACCACCTTTTTGTGTTCATAAACAATTTCTTATCATATTAAATCTTCCTTGGTGAATTTGGCTATGAAAACCAAGTTCTATGTATTGGTTTTCACTGTTATTCGGCCTTTAATTCAGCCTTCCTACTTGACCTCTTTCAATTTTCTCACCCCGTATCTTCATGACTTTTCATATAAATACCTATGACAAGTACGTGTATGACCAGATAATTCGAAATCTGTTGCGCATAAACATTACACGGTTCATCTTTTTATTGTTTTGCCGAAGGATATTTTTTAGTGATTTCAATTAGTCTTCTGACAGAAGTAATGAATAATTGGATTTGAACATTATTTCCCCAGTAAATTTGTTCATCGTTACTTCGAATGAACACTTACTGAATACTAGAACTAACTATTATAAAATTGGAGAGGTAAGCAAAAGATAAAGCAGTCATAGGGTTCGAACCTTAGAACTATGACTGTTCTGTGTGCAGAGGATAGTAATGTAGTTCACAACAACTAAAATCATGTACTCAACTCTTTAAAATTTTATTATGTCTTCAACTAGCAGAAAACGTACTTGTAGATATAAGGAGAAAATATACAGTATCCAAAATTTTGTTTACTGCCGTATTTTTGCATACCTTCAGTAGTCTCCGAATGAATATCGGTGGGTGAATATCGATATAATAGGTAAAGTAGAAGTGCAAAAGGATTTTCTTACAAATCTAACATAATCATCTGACATCTATACTGAATCATCATGGTAAATTTAGCTGCTATTCAACATATAACTGAAATGTACTTTACAATGATAAGGTGGTCCTCATTAAGTTAATTCAACTCATACGATTTAGTTGTGGATGTAATCGGCTGTTAGGTGACAGACAGGAGTAATATCTTTCGATAATACTCAGTCATTCACATTAAAACATTGGGATTGAAGTTAAATCCCACAATGAAGTGCTTGGAAGCCGATTGCCTAGTTAAATAATTCCTATGTGTATATGAGGGAAGCTCAGTGATGCTTTCGAAGTGAAGACAGGAAGGAGTAAGACAAGGCTGTCTACTATCAACCATCATATTCCCAATTGCAGTGAACTGAATCATGCAGCAAACAGTGAGGAGCCAGAACAGGTAGACAATTTGGAACGCAGAAAAGAACCTAGCAGATTTAGATTTCGCCGACGAGGATTTATGTCTAATGTCACACAAACTTGAACATCTACAGACGAAAACCAACAAGTCGACAGGAGAGGCAGGGCAGCGAAGACGGGACGTCAAGTGAATGTAGAGAAGACAGAGGTGGTGAAGATACCCAACCAGCAACACCACCACCAACAACAACAAGCTGCAATCACCATCAATGGGAGAAACTTCAACAAAGTAGTCTCCTTCACCTATCTAGGCAACACTGTTTCAACTACAGGTGGCACACACACAGACGACGACGTCAAAACCAGTCAGGATCACAAAGACAGCAAGACAGAGGTTCCTGCATTAATTTGAAACCAGTGTGGAGATCTTCTGCACTCAGCACACATTCATCAACAACTGCCTACGCTCACTCGTTACTGAAGATCAGATAGCCAGAATAGTCAGAGTCAGCAAGAAGGAACTCTGGCTGTCAACGAACCAACCAACGAAGCAAGAAGCTATCGCTGAACAAGTATGTAGAAGAAGGTGGAGATGGGGATGGATTGGGCATACACTGAGAAGGTCAACTGGGGACATCACATGCCAGGCCACGTACTCGAGTGGAACGCAGATGGGAAGTGACGAGTTGGGCATTGGAGGAGGGAGGTGATATGGATGAGATGGTGTGAGGAAGAAATGAGAGGTTGTGGTGAGTCGTGGAGTGAGGTTCAAAAGATTGTGGAGAATAGAGTGGCTGGAGACCTGCTACTGAATCCCTTTGTTTGACTAGTAACCCAAGGGACAACTGATAAATAATAATAATATGTTTATATGATGTTCATCACTGAATATCTTCTATGGACTAGCAGTGGAAGTATGACAACTCCACTTATAAATCCTAGAATATATTCTAATTGATGGAAAGAGATATACAACTTATCATATCCTCATCCAAATAATCAGATTTTTGAGGAGATCAAACCAATATCATCCTCAATACTTCGCATTTTTGATAAGAATACACTTTTCATTGAGAAGAAATAAACTACAATTTAATACTTGTCAACTGAATGTTCCTGCAACAATATTAGAAAATAACAGTTGATAAACAATGAAAAATTGTCATTTTTTCTCTTCATTATGAAGTAGATACTAATGAACTCATCTATACAAGTGTTGAAACATTCAGGGATAAACTTTAAAGCTTGGAGAACACTTAATAACTATCATGATCATTATATTGAGGTATAAATCTTCATTATGTCTTACACTAGTATCAATATAACTGATATCTTAAATTTCTATGTTAAAGATGATGATGATGATGATGATATAATTCATTAAAAAACCTTCAACACATCCAGTATGACTAGTATTATTTGAACTCATCTAATTATTACCTGGGTGATATTGGTTCATACGCCTGTTGTAACCTGTAATATGAGTATGTTCTGTTGTCAATATGCACATTATTTAATTATCGTCATTATTACTAATCTAATTATTTGAAGTATTTATCAATGTAAAACTTTAACTCACCATCAAGACATACAATTTCTACTATCTTCTTCGTGTTTGTTTTTATTCCTTTTGATCAAGAAAATCACAGTGGAAATAATAATTTTAAAAAAAGTGTGATCAAGAAGACAAGACTATTAGTGGACTGTTAATACTTGATTAGATTTTTTCATTAAATTCTAATATGTGTTGAGATATGTTCATTGATTCAAGAGAAAATTTTATTTGTTGCTTCATTATAACTATTGTTACTTCTTACTTAACATATATATTAACCAATCAGATTAAAGCTGAAAGTATCACTGGTTATATGAAATCATAAATGACATTCTATTTGTAATCAGTGAATATACTGAAGTTATTAACAAACTGTACACAGATAAAAGTTACAGATTTATGTAGTATATACCCTAATTATAATTGATTGTTTAGAAGGTATTGGTAATTAGTGTTACTAATATTAGTTGAAGAACTTTTACAGACTTGATTAGCAGTGTACAGCTGTTTTTATTCTAGTATAACATTCTTCAGCACTCATAATCTCACCAGAGATCACTGAACCCTTCACTTCTCATTGGTTACCATTGACCTAATAGTCTATATTTTCCAAATATTGTCAGATTGTGTAACCATAAGTGATTTATTTTCTCTCAGTGTTTCCTGTCTGGTAACACTTGTACATTCTTTTTTGACAATAATAGAAACAACTTTATCTACCTCTGTGTCTAATAGTTTTCATATGATGCCTTAATGTAATTTATTTGACCATCTTCAGGTATTGCCTGCTGTCTAAAATGCCTAAAAACAATCATTGAACACTGTTCAAACAAACCCTTCTTTCAAGTTGTTAGTCATTGTAGACTGACATCAGTTGGAGGAACAAAGGAAACCTGGGAGCACTGGACAGCTGTTTCGTCACACTAGTATGTGACTCCTCAGCATTGTGCACCCATGACCCCACCAGAGATCGAACCCGCGATATTCAGGTTCCGTGTTCAGCACGTTATCATCGAGCCACTGGGTCAAAATCCAGTGCTCCGTATTTCTAACTTGTATTAGCTTACGATAATAGTAACGTGCTGGCCACGGAACACGAAGGTTGCGGGTTCGACCCTTGGTGGGGTCATGGGTGTACACTGCTGAGGAGTCCCATACTAGGACGAAACAGCTGTCCAGTACCCCCAGATTTCTTTTGTTCCTCCAACTGATGTCAGTCTACAATGAATAACAACTTGAAATATTTTCAAATCCCCACAACTCCCTCAAAAATATCCCTCTTTGTTTTTCCTACTTATAAAAACAACTTGCTTTATTTAAATGAGTGAGCAACAGATTTCAACAAGAAATTATAACCATAAAAGAACATTTTATAAATCTACAAAATTGAACATATTCTTACTCAGTGAATATTAAATTCCACTTTCTGTTTACTGATTTCTTTAGATAATGACTGGTAGTGAGTACTACTGATAAGAATACATATAAGTAGTATATGTTAAGAGGTCGGCGGAAATCATGGGCAGTTAAGATCTATGGGTAAATATTCCACATAAAGAAACGTAAGAGGTAAGAGGAAATGAAATATGTTGCGCAAATGAATACTTCAATGGAAAGGTTACAATATATGATCAATAATGTACAAAGTGTCATGTGATAATAGCTTCGCAAAAGCTCTATGACACAGAGGAATAGTTAGACTTGACATGAATTCACTGAAGGTTTTTTGTGAATTATGCAATCCATTTTGAGAACTGTATAGTTAGGTGACTCTCAAATATAGTAGTAGTTACCTTAGAAACAAAAATCTGTTACCCTCGTGATGTTGTAACTGTCGTCAATATTGCTGGCTAACTTCAGTTTTTGTCGACCACCTATGCAGTGCTCTATAGGTAGACTGAAGCGAAATGAATACGAAATAGATTTATGGAACGCTTTACTGACCTCAAAAGACTGAAACAATCATTCGGTGTTAAGGCTACATCAGTCACTGTTGATCACTGTCATTAGGCACTATGTATCGTACACGTTTGATGTTATTCCATAAACAACTAGTCTTATTCTTGAGATGAATGGGGATTTTTTTTACTTTACAAGTAGTATTCATCATGGACTGAGGTCAGTTGGGGAACCATTGAAAATCTGGGAGCACCGGACAACTGTTTCATCCTAGTATGGGACTGCTCAGCAGTATGCGCCCACGACCCAGCCAGGGATCGAGCTCAGGACCTTCAGGTTCCACGGCGAACGAGTTAACCATTCAGCCACTGGGTCGGTTTCCAGTGGTTCACAATCTCTAACTTATGTCAATTCACGACATAGCGCGACTGTTACCCAAGGTCTTCAATTAGCATCCACTTCACTTCCGACTGCTGAGGAGTCCTATACTAGGACGAAACGGCTGTCCAGTGCTCCCAGCTTTCCAGTGGTTCCCTAACTGACGTCAGTACATGAAGATAACTACTTCTGGTCTTATTCTATTACTTGCTGATACTGGTAACTCTCTGCTGCTATGCTTGATTCGACGACTGGCAACCATCGACCAAATTGTGAAAGAGGTAGCCAGGCCTTCCTCCGCACTGATCCATAAAGCAATGAGTATGAAGTTTAAGTTTTAGTGAGAATACCACATCTCTTAGTGGAGTTGCAGGTACATTCGGTTGATGAGTCTTGGGTAGGACGAAACTCACACCTTAGATTCCACTGTTAAATAATCACAAAGCAAATTTTAACAACTAGTCTTCATCTAACTATTATCTCATGTCTAAAATAAAAGAATTTCTTAGTCTGTTAGTTAAATAAC